AATCTTTCAGAAGCACAATTTTTGGTACGTTGACCATGGACACCCGTGAAATCTTTCGGAAACGAATGTGCGCGGCGCTAAGACAAGAGACACATTCTGAAGACGACCTGCCTTCAATCCGTGAAATATTGCAACGTTATGAAGACGAATGTGCGCGGCGCTAATGCGAGAGCCACATTTTGAAAACGACCCGCCCTTAATCTTTGAATCTCTTGCAAATACTGAAAGCGAGTGTGCGCGGCGCGAGGGCGAGAGCCACGTTTTGAAAGCGACCCGCCCTCAATATTTTAGAGAGAGCGTGATCCACCGCCGCTTTACTGTGGAAAATTGCCAACCTTTTCCTCCGGAACCCGGGGGTCGCCCCCCCCCCCCTCCGAAAATCCCCCCCCCCTGCTGGCACCCCCCCCCCCCACCCCTTCCCCCCCCCCCCACCCCACACCTCCCCCCCCCCCCTCCCCCGACCCCTCGACCCCCCCCCCCCCCCCCCACCCCCCCCTGGGGGGGGTCACTACCGGTTCGAACCCCCCCCCCCCCCCCCCCCTCCGGATCCGGAAAACCGGAGGGTCACTACCGGTTCGAACACCCCCCCTTCCCCCCCCCCCCCCCCCCCTACTCACCGCCAGCAAACGACTCCCGGTCCCCACCACCGTCCGCATCACATCCCCCACTGGTGTTCCCAGCACCACTGTCCTCACCACCGCTGTCCCCACTGGTTCCACCACCGCCCCTACTGTCCCCACCAGTGGCCCCACCACTGTCGCACTGTCCCCGCTGTCCCCAGAACTGTTCCCACCACGGTTCCACTCTCCCCACTGTCTCCACGGCCCCAACCACTGCCCGACTATCCCCACTGTCCCCACTGTCCCACTGACTCCTCCGCTGTCCCACTGAGCTGTCCCACTGTTCCCACCACTGTCCCCACTGTCCCCACCACTGTCCCCACTGTACCTCTGTCCCATTGTCCCACCGCCGTCCTCGCCACCGCCTTCACCACTGTCCCCACCACCATTGTACCCTCCACTGTCCCACTGTTTCCACCTCATTCCCATTGTCCCCACACCACTGTCCCCACCACCACCGTCACCACCACTGTCCACTGTCCCCCCCTGTTCCCACCATTGTCCCCACCACTGTCCCCACCACTACCGTCCCCACCACTGTCCCACTGTCCCACTGTCCCCACCACTGTCCCGCTATCCCCTCACCACTGTCCCCACCAACACCGTCCCCACCACTGTCCGCACCCCCACTCGGTTTTCGAGGGGGGGGGGTTCGAACCGGTAGTGACCCCCCCCGGTTTTCCGGATTCGGAGGGAGGGGGGGGGGGGGGGGGTTCGAACCGGTAGTGACCCCCCCCCCTTTTCATGATGAGCAGGGGGGGGGGGGGGGGGAGGGGTTCGAACCGGTAGTGACCCCCCCTCGGTTTTCCGGAAGGGGGGGGGGGGGGGGAGGGGTTCGAACCGGTAGTGACCCCCCCCGGTTTTCCGCCAGCAGCGGTAGAACACGCTCTTTCATATTTTAATATCTTGCATGTTTTAACGACTGCGCGCGGCGCTAAGGCGAGAGCCACATTGTGAACACGGCCCGCCCTCTATCTGTTAAGCTCTTGCAGATTTGTCGAGCGACTTTGCGTGGCGCTAAGGCGAGAACCACATTTTGGAAACAACCCGCCCTCAATATGTTAAATGTGGCTTGTTTTTTAGCTTAAGGGCCTTGCATGGTGAGAAAGTCTCCGGCGACACGCCCAGCCCGCCCTTTCGACCAACCTTGGGGTTCGACAGGGAAAAGTTGCTTAGCAGGGGAAGGAGTGGAGGAGGAGGAGGAGGAGGAGGAGGAGGCGGAGCCGGGTTTCGTAGAGTCGTTGGTCGTCATGCAGTTCAGGATGGGGCTCAGGTAGCCGACGCAGCTGGTGCAGCAGCTGGGGCCGCAACGACCTGTGGAACGAGGACACGCGCTGGTGAAGAGAATGGCTGGGGACATATTCGAACTGGGTTTTGAGTGTTCTCAATACGGGTCGGGGCTGTGCTCCGAGCGTTCTGGTGTGGGCCGCGGCATCGCGGCAGGCTGTGATGGCCCGATGGGCCGATCGCTGGGCCGCGTGCGCCAGCGCGTTCCTGTCTATGTGGGTCTTGCCGGCCTGTTCCGGCTTGTCCCCAAGGGCCGTGTCAGAAGTGTTCCTTTCCGCGGGCGTCGTCGAAGCTTTTGGTCTTGGCGCCGCGGGGGCCGAAATGCCATGGGAAGGGGTGGAATCTGACCTTTGGCCCTCGGGACGTGCCGAACTCGGGCTTGTGCGTTCCCCCGCAGTTTGGGGCGTTAGCTAAAGGCTGACGCCCGCCCGTGCGTGGAGTCCCCGCGCTGGCCTGGCCGCGGGGGGGATCGTTAGTTACGCTCCCCTCGTGCGTTTTTTTGCTGCGCCGACTTTACCTCCAACTGAGGCTTGGCGGCGCCACCTTGCCAACGTTAATCGTTGTTTCCGCAGCAATCTGTGCTCAGTGAAAAGTCCGCTCGCGAGCGCGCCCTCCCTCCTGTCGGGCGCTTACATATTTACACAGGCGCATCTGTTTACTTGATTTTCCGACTAGTCAGACATGGCGTCAAGCACATTCTCTCCGAGCTTTTGTCTGGGACCGCAGTTTCTATATGACTTACCAGAATGTTCCGACCAATCGCCTATCAATAGGATCAAGACAATGCCCAGATCCAAGATGAAGACGCATATTTTTGAGCGGCTTCGCAAAGATGGTGTGACCAGAGCAGACAGTCTACAGTGAGCAATCCGACGCTTCGTCCTCGCACGAAACCCGATCGCTGTCGGGTTTGGCGTTCCGCTGTGCTGCCCGAAGCCCCTAACTCGTCAAGGAGAGGAGAGCGCGTATGGCGCTCGCGTCGCGTCGACGCGGCGGCGGCCCCGGCGCCAGCGCGCCCAGTGGAACGAGGCCAGCGGCCGGGGCTCGGCCTATAAAGAACGATCCGCGCGATCAGAAGGTCGCGATCGTTCGAGTTTGAGCGATCCACGCGGTATCAGAAACGACTGCGCATGTCGCCTCGACTCGGACCTGCCGTGGCCGACGTGGCTGGGACGTCGCACCGCCTTCGGTGGTGTTTGGCCAGTTCTCGCGTGATTTTCGACGCCCGAGCCGAATCAGCGTGCCAGAAATTGAGAAAGGGGGGCGAAATTAATGCAGCGTTTCGCTCACTGTCAGAAGCATCTCCTTGGTGGGGGCACCCGTTAACATGGATCGAGGATCCGTGGTTCCCCCCCCGAAGCGAGGGGCCAGTGCCGCCCGATCTGGCCGACGGAGCGCGCCGATTCAATATGGACTTGGGGCCCGTGGCTCATCCGCGCGTCGCTCATCCTCGCGTGCTTTTCTTCGACGGGTGGGCAGCGAAAGAGAATGGGTATGTTTTCACCGATAATACCGCGCAAACTGCCCGCGTAGGGTCGCGCGTAAGCGCGTTCGCCTCCAATGCAGCGAGCCGCGCTTGCGGCCCACGTAAGCCGCAGCGTCAGCTCTCGGCGTCATCTCGCGTAGCCCGTTTTCAATCGTCGTTCAGGTGGGGGTCGTGGACCTGGAGGCTGGCGCCCACACCATCTCTTACCCTGCCGGCGAGTGGCACGCGCCCGCAGGCTCCGCCGTGCCGCCCGGCTCCCAGCTCTCTCCAGGATGCGGGGGCGGAGGAGTCGTCGGCGGGGCTGCCCAGGGCGGCGGTGCTGGTGCGCTGTTTTGGTGTTGGTTACGCCAGAGGCCAACAGCATGCAAAAACCGACGCAATGTTGTTCATCTTGGTTTGGGCCCTTGTTTTGTTTTTCATGTCGTGTTTCGTTGTTGTTTCGCTTCGTTGTCCAGTGTTGTTTTAACGCCCTGTTTCGTCGTTCGTTTTCGTTTGGCATTGGCCTCGTTTTAAACGTTTGTTACAAAGGTTGGGCATCATGTCGTTGTTCGTTGTAATTGCCATTTCGTTTTCAACATATTTGTGGTCGGTTATTGACAACATGTGTACACGTACGCGGTCCACGTATATTGCATTTGCACGCGGGCGATCGTTCACGCAGGACCGCGGAGGGCAAAAATGTCCATGTGTCTCTGCTCGCTCATGATGCCTGTCCCCAGTTGCGCCATCGCCATCATATTATATTATATCATCGGCAAGGCCCCCCTCCCCATCACCCTCGTCGCCCTTCCCTTCCCACCTCCCACCTCCTGCCAATCCGCCGTCCTCCGAGGAAGAAACACTGCATCAACAACCTTTCGAGGTCCGTGCGGATTTCTTCGATCGATGCTGGACCCCCCTCCTTGGCGCGAAGCGCGCTAGGGGCGGCGCCAGAGGCGCCAGGGAGGGGGTCCAGCGCCGACAAAAAGAATTCCGCGCGGACCTCCGACATTTAGTTTTTCACGTTTCTTCCTCCCTCTACTTGTCGGCGGCGATCCCAGGGGGGAAACGAGAGGGAGCAGGCCTCCTCAGAAGGCGGCTGGGCTTCTCAGAGAGCGGGTTTCTGAGAAACCCTTGCGCCTCCGGGGAAGCCGTCTGCGGCTTCGGAGAAGGGTCACAAGACTTGTCAGAAGGCGCGAGGGCTTCGGCGAAGCCCCAAGCCCCTTCTGAGAAGGCCTGCCCCCTCGCACCTCCGCCCGTCGCGCCACAGAGCCGGGTCTTCGGGTCATACCTCGGGCCCCCCGTGGCCGCTCGCGGCGATCCGGGCACCTCCGGACGCCTCTCGGCGAGGCGCAGCCGTTGGCGCCCATGCCGAGGCTGGAAAACTGCCGGGATTCTGCGCAAACGCCCGAAAACCTCGAACCCCGAACCCGAACTTGTCCCCAGGGCCCGCCACCGAACCTCCTGCTCCCCCTCCTCTCCCCCGACGTCTGCTCCATGGCCCCCCGTCGCGGCGAGCAAGAAAACGGGGATGCGGCCTGGGCAGGCCTCGGGAACGTGGTCGTGGCTGGCCCGGAGCTGTCCGTGCTGCTCCTGGACGCCGCGCTTTGCGGCGAGCCGTTGCCGAGGCCGCGCGAGGGAGGAGGAGGAGGAGGAGGAGGAGGAACAGGAGGAGGACGAGGACGAGGAATCATAACACACATGTTACACTATTCACTAGATAGTTTTCAACCTCATATGTTTGACATATGCGTCCACGAATATGCCGGCTACCCCGCCATGATCGTGGACGCGATCTACGAGCAGTTGTCCGCCTGCTGCCGGATACCACGAATTTGTATCGTCGGAGGCGATTTCCAAACAGAGCTGCATGAGCCAGTACGGGGGGCTGCGCTGCTCGATTTTGCGTCAAGGGGGAAGCTGTCATTTTGTAACAGTTCTGGGGACTGGACGTTTCGAAGCAATCTGGGGAGATACCGTCTTATCGACTACATCCTGCTCGGCTCGCGTGCCAGATGCATTACGAGTGGCAGCACAAATCTTCTTGACCTCGGGCCAGACCATCGTGCCGTATCCGCTACCATAGAGTTCAAGGTTGCCAGACAATGGACAAGCAGACATCGAAACTCTCGATATAAATGGTCTGATGTGCCTGGCCAAGATATCCGGCGATACACAGAGTCAGTGGACTTATGGGCCTCACGTCATACTGTTTGCAATTTCGCCGATATAGAACATGCCATCCGCTCTTCAGCAAGGGGAACAGTTGCAAACGAAGACAGCGACGACCCCAAACCCCTGGAATTCAGATGTTGTCCTGCAGGCGAAGAGAGACCGCGATCAGGACAGGGACCCTTTCAAGAGGAAAACCTTGCATTGGCGTTGGAAGCGGGCACTTCGGAATGAGGTTCGTGTTTGAAAGACTCGGCAGGCCACGAATATTTTGTCGGAGTTTCAAGGTTTGTCCCGCGTGGACGTTCTATGTTACGTTCCGGTTGAGCGGGAGACTCCTGCCAAGCGGCCAAGCGACGGGGAGCTTGCGCGAGCTCTCGCCGACGTGTGCTCGAGGGAGACGCCAGCTGAAAGACCGCTGCCGCGAACTGTTTTCCGCGACGTTCCTCCGCTCAGCACGGCAGAGCTCAAGGCGGCCTTGAGAAAGCTGGCGCGCAACAAGGCCGCGGACTCCGAGGGGATTGCGTTAGAGCATATTTTACACTTACCTCTGCGAGCCAAGAAGCTCATTCTTGATCAGCACAACAAATGTCTGAACGATGGGGCGTTCCCGAAAGAGTGGCTGCATACTACTTTCGCAATGCTGCCTAAGCCGGGAGACGCGTCAAACACTTCAATTTGGCGCCCAATCGCAGTGCAAAGGATATTGTACAAGGTTCTTGCCAAAATGTTTTTGTCGAGGATCTCGCCGAGGCTGGAAGCAGCGCAGGGGAGAGATCAATGTGCGTGCCGGCCTGGCTTCGGCGCCGACGAGGCCTTGCATTGCGCGGAGCACATGGTGGGATGTGCCCACGCGTTCAAGCAGGACCTTTGGATCGTGAGCCTGGACCTCAGCAAGGCGTTTGATAAAGTCTTCCACGAATCGGTTATTGAAGCAATATTGCAGCAAGGTGTAGATGAGGCGCACGCTTCCTGATTGCAAGAGCTGCATGGGGGACAGACGGGCCAAGTTGTCACAGGCGACGTCTTTCAGCTCTTCCCGGGCGTTCGCCAGGGCGACGTATTGAGTCCGTGTTTATTCAGCGCAGTAATGGAGATGGTGTTCAACCGGCGGAAGGGCCGCCTCGCAAAGCAGGGATGGGAATTCCCAGGGCAGGCAGAACGCTTCACGAACATCCGGTTCGCAGACAATGTTTTGCTTTATGCCCGCTCGCTGGAGGGCGCTAAAATCATGCTCTCGCTCGTAATTGAGGAATTCCAGGCCGTGGGGCTGCGACTGAACGCCGCGAAGACCAAAATCTCATCCTCCAGAGACGTTGGTGCGGCACCCGGCACTTGCATGATCGAATGGATTGCCGGCCGCTGTTTTCACGTGCTGCCCCCGGACGAATCTCACGAATATTTGGGGAGAGCTCTCAACTTGTCAAAGAACAGGGCAACGCTTGCCGTCGAGAGGAGGATATCAACGGCATGGCACCAATTTTAGAAAGAAAGAAGAAGATTTTTTTTTACATAAAAAAAACGCCAAATTCTGATGAACCAGCATGTCGGCGCTGGTCATCGCTTCAAGCTCTTCAACTCCACGGCCTTGCCAGTCCTGTTATACGGATTGGCCAGCCTGGCGCTGAAGCCGCAGCGCCGCGCCATGCTCTGGGGAGCGCGGACAAAGATGCTCCGAAATATGGCTGTCTGGAGGAGAGCGGAAGACGACAGCTGGCAGGACACGACGCGCAGGATGCAGACGCGCGTGTCGAACATGCTGTCCACGGCGCCCTCCCCAGACGTGTCGGCAAGGATTTTTTCTTCGAAGTGGCGGCTGGCTCGCCGGCTCTTCTGTGGAGGAGTTGAGAAATGGGCGCCTGTTCTTCGACATCTGCAGTTTGTTCACAAACGAGCGCGAGGCGGGCCGCCGCTGCAATGGGCGGATGACTTCAAACAGTTCTACGCGCAAGTAGGGGCAGATTCTCTGGAACAGGCGCTGCAGGCGCCGGGCAGGGGCGAGCAGTGCGTCAAGTTCTGCATGGTGAAGTTGCGATGCCCCTCCCTCCTCCTCCCCCTTCCCCCGCTTCCTCCCCTTCTGTTGCGTTTTTCCGAATTCCCAATTCCACATTCTGCTCACGTTTCATAGATGCTGTTTGTCTGGTAGTCGAATTGTACACCCACGCCCTGCGCGGGGCCGAGCAGCCGACAGGCATGCTCGTGCGGGTCGCTCGCTCGGTCGCACTAGAAAATATTCGAGAACAAAGCAGTAACCAAGCGTAAACATAACAATGGCGATGCTATTCAGACAACAAGAAATGATATCAGTCATGCGAACACGAGTAATATCATTAGTGATACGATTGCGCTGGGAATCATATGTTATACACTGAGAGTCATGCGATAGCTATTTCGAACATTCATCATTACTATGGCACTGAGAGATAACAGTGGCGATACGATGCATCTAACAAAAAATGATAGCAGTCATGCGAACACGAGTCGCATCATAAATGATACGAATGCCCTGGGCAATCACAACTATCATAATAAAGTGCGCAATCATAGCAGTGGTAAGAAAACAACAATCAGAACAAGCACAACTGAATAGCATACTAACTAAGAAGAAGTGGAGGAGGGGGAGGAGGAGGAGGACGAGAAGGAGGAGGAGGAGGGGGAGGAGGAGGAGGAGGGGGCAACCCGCGAGGCGGGCTCGGCAAGCGCTGCTGCGGGGGGGGCTCAGGGGGGGAGGGGGGGGGGGGCGCGGGGGGGGGGGGAGGGGGGGGGGGGGGGGCAGGGGGGGGGCGGGGCATCTCTGAAGCACCAGTGTATCTCAGCAGGCGCGGGCTTTGCGCGCAGGCGCGCGGTCGGCGCGGGGGGGGGGGGGGGTTGGCGGGCCCGAGCCCGCGCCAGCGCCAACCAGACACCAGCTTTTTGATTTCCGAAGAGATGGGGATCTCAGGCCATGCGCGTGCCGCTCTCTGTTTCACGGGAAGAGGGGCTAGGGCAGCAGGGCTACGAGCTGGTGGCCGATCGGCTCCACACCCCCGCGCAGATGTCCTTCGCGCGCGTGGTGCAGTACAACCCTTGCTGCTGCAACACGGCGCAGAGAGCCATGGGCGTAGGCGTAGGGGAGGGGCTGCTGAGGAGAGACGCCATCGCACCCATAGGCACGCATCTTCGCAGTGCGAATGGGCTCACAGAGTACACGCTCAGAATTAGCGGTTACTTGTGCATACCGTTTGGCTGCAGAAATGAATTATATTCGAACGGAAGTTGCGGGGTAACTTTTATGCTCAGAGCTTCGAGATTCAAAGAATACAACATGCGCCCAGTTGTTGAAGTTCCTCATATGCTGTGGGGAAGGTGCGCAGCAATGCGCATGCAGCAGGGCCCACTTCAGCTCGATCTTATAGGAATGTACTTCCCACCGAGACACACGAGAAGAAGAGGGCGTGAACGTCAGGAGCGCGCCGTTACAAAGATGGCGCAGTGTTTGAGTGGGTGGTTGCACAAGGTTAGCTCACGCGACGCGATCATGATTTTCACAGACCTCACTGATGGGTTACAACGCGATCCTGATACTGCGAGCTGTGGCAAGTACAGCGCGGGCGTGGATCACAACGCAACAATGCAGTTGAAGCCGCTCTTAGACGGCATGGGCATCACCTCCTTTGGCACGAATTTCCAGATGGCGTCGAGTTACATAGGAGAGCGCAGCGCCACGACACTGGATCATACTATGGGATGGCACGACATGATTGGGGCAGTTGAAGAGGTTCGCACACTAGCGGCAGCGGGGAGACGGCTTCAGCTTCATCACGCCGGCAGGCCATTTGACCATCGACCGATCCAGCTGACCGCGTACATAGATTTGCAGCACAGCGAAAGAAGAAACCGAGCCCCTCGTCCCAACCAGGAGGCGATGCATCACTCGTTGCAGACTGGATATATGAGACAGCAGCTTGTTAGAGCTCAAGTTTTTATACTCGAACACATAACGCGCGTTATGTGGCCTCCAACCCACCCGCCCACCCAGTAGATAGCATAACGCCCGACGCCCCGCCCACCCCCGTTGCAGCAGCGCGTGTTGTTTAGCGCACAGGTATGCTGTTCGTAGTGCGCGCGCAACGTGTTTGCAGCGTGCGCAGGCATTTGCCTGTGGTATGTAGAGGCGCGTGGCGCGCGCAGGCTGACGCGGCGCCCACGCAGGCGCGGCGGCGCACCCAGCAGTGGAAACAACGAGCAGTTCGGCGTGCATAGCGCACGCGCCGGCTGCGGCGGCAATTGTGGTGCACACAGGCGCGGTGGTGTCCAGCACTGTCGTGCGCAAAGATAATTACTGTTGTCCGCGCAGGCAACGGGGGTATGGGGCCGCGCCCTGGAGGTGTACACGGGCTTTGTGGTGCACGCAGGCACAGCGACGCACATGCTGGATGTGTATACAGGCACAGGGGCGCATTCGTACCGACGCTAG